GCAGCCCGCTGCCAAAGGGGAACCCCAGCCCGGCTGGGCACCCCCAGATCCCAGCTCTACACGGCCAATCCCGGCTGGGCACCGAAAATCCCAAGTGGGCATGCCAAATCCCTGCTGAGCACCCCCAAATCCCGGCTAGGCACTGCCAAATCCCGGCTGAGCACCCCCTAATCCCAGCTAGGCACTGCCAAATCCCAGCTGAGCACCCCCAAATCCCACCTAGGCACCGAAAATCCCAACTGGGCATGACAAATCCCGGCTGAGCACCCCCAAATCCCGGCTAGGCACTGCCAAATCCCGGCTGAGCACCCCCTAATCCCAGCTAGGCACTGCCAAATCCCAGCTGAGCACCCCCAAATCCCACCTAGGCACCGAAAATCCCAACTGGGCATGACAAATCCCGGCTGAGCACCCCCAAATCCCAGCTGGGCACTGAAAATCCTGACTGGGCACCCCCAAATCCCAGATAGACACCCCCAAATCCTAGTTAGGAATCCCTAAATCCCATCTGAGCACTCCCAAATCCCAGCTAGGCACCCCCAAATCCTGGGTGGGCACTGAAAATACCAGCTGGGCACCCCAAATCCTGGCTCTAGACCCCCAAATCCCAGCTGGTCACCACAAATTCCAGCTGAGCACCCCCAAATCCCAGCTCTACATCTCCAAATCCCATCTGGGCACTCCCAAATCCCAGCTGGTCACTGAAAACCCCAACTGGGCATCCCAAATCCGAGCTCTACACCCCCAAATCCCAGCTAGACACCCCCAAATCCTGACTGGTCACCCAAAATCCCAGCTGGTTATCCCCAAATCCCAGTTAGTCACCCCAAATCCCAGCTAGGCACCCCCAAATCCCAGCTGGGCACAGCTTTCCCAAAGTGCACTCCCATCCTGGCCATACATTCACCCCCAATCCCAGCTGTGCACTCCCAAATCCTGGCTGGGACCCCCAGATTCCAGTCAGCCACCCCCAAAGCCCAGCTGGTCATCCCTAATCTCAGCTGGGCACCCCCAAATCCCAGCTCTCTGCCGTAGGCACCTTCTTTTGCTGGAAAACCGGGCTTTTTTTTTTTTACACCCTGGGAGCGAAGGGATGGGAGGCTTTGGTGGTTGGGGGGCGACTATGCCGGGGCG